GCTACCCCATCTCTGGCAGTGTGCAAGGCCAGGTTGGACAGGTCTTGGAACACCCGGGGATAGTGGAAGGTGTTCCTGCCCATGGCAGGGGTTGAAACTGGACAGACTTTAAGATCCCTTCCCACAAAAAGCATTCTGTGATTCTGTGGTACCTGGGAGGGGCTTTTTGCCAGCTGCATGGTGAGTCCAATCAAAGCTGCCAGCTGCAGCCTCAGCGTGCACAGAGTGGGGGGTTTTTAAGAAAACAGAACAAAATGTGCAAGATGACCATTGCCGTTCCTGAGTCGTGTGTCAGTAGCATGGCTTTGAATCTCAGCCTCTGCCAGATGGATGTTGGGCAATCTTGGAGGTCAGCACCACAGCACTCACTTCCATCTCTTTCCTTAGCACCCATCTCCACATTGTGTGAGGTGCTGGCTTTGTTTTTATGTTCTCTGCAGAGATTTTGTTAAGGAATCCCCAGCAGTCAAGCTGGGGTGAGCAGCTCATGGGCATGAATTCCAGTTGGCCAGACCAAGACACCCACGAGGGCTTAAACCACCAGCCCCAACAGCCCCATAGGGGGCTTGAGCCTGCCCTACCTGCCCCACACATCTTCCTTGAGGGTCAAACTTCTCTGTTGAGGCCCATCCACTCTCTATCATTTTTGACACAGCCACGACGACATTCAAAAAAGCTCTTCAATGAAAACAAAACCCAGCATTTTTGTTTAATTTTTTGGTGCTATCAAAAGCTGCTCACTGCCCCATTTTTAGCTCCCCCAGAACGAGCTGCATGAGCTGGTGAAAGGAGCAGCGTGTTGACGAGGGGGGCTATTGAATCCCAGCCTCCCACTGCTCCCACACACAGGCTGAGCCCAGCAGGGCTCCACACTGAGCATCCCCCATCTCACCGTGCCCCAAATGGGGGTGTTGATTTCTCCTTGCTGTGAGCATGAAGTGCAAGTTGGCAAAGACCTTGGAGGAGTTTATAGACCTCTTGGCTCCTCAGTAGCATCTTCCTGCTGGGAGAGATTCTGGATGTGCTCAGTCCCTGCTGAATTGATTCTGCCTTTGGCTCAAGGTTTGAGCTTAGGTGTGCAGAGAGAAATTCCCATTGTGAGTCCTTGTTTGGGAAAGAACTGCTCCATGGAGAGTTTTGTCCCAATGAATCACCCTGGAAGGAAATGGCAATGAAGCGCAGCTGGATGTTGGGGAAGGGCAGCACTTTCAGCTCCCTTGAATATGCTACTGAAGAAGGAATCAGCTTGACCCAGATACATGAAATAACACAGTCCCTGACAAAGCACTGCAGCAAGAGCTAGAATTTCACATTTATTTAAAAACCAACTTACTTGCTGTCCACAGATACACAGCCCAGATCCAGGGATGCACTGGGATAAAACAGCATCAGCACAGGCTGAATCCAGCTGATGCACTGCCATGGCTCTGTGCTGGGGCTATGCAGTGCCAACACTGCTGCTCCACCTGCCCTCAGCATTCCACTTTTTTTTTTCCTTTGAAGTCCAGTTTGGGCAGGAAACACAGAAAGTACTTGGCATCTCCTGTACCAAACACCTGACAGCCCTGGATTAGTGTTGGGGATGCAGACTGTGCACTGGAGCTGCAGACAAAAAATGCCTCAAATTAACTCCTCAAACCCCAAATCCTGAAGTTTGCAGCACTGGAACAGTGATGATAATTCCTGAAGGCTTATGTTACAGGTCTGGAAGGGATGGGCTGCTCACAGTACAAAAGATTTCTGAGTGTTTCATGCTGGCCATCCATGTCTGGTGTATTCACCCACTGTGCACATCTCCAGGACACCTACTTCCCCTGACCTAAGTCTGCTTTTTCTGCTTCTCTGCAATAGCTCTTCCCATAATTAGGAGCCATAAATATGATTCTACAAAAATTTAGGTTAGGCTCCATGTGTGATGGAGGGAGGACTTTGTACAGCCAGATCAGCTTTAAAACTGCAAAGTGGAAAGGGATCTTTGCAGGGATTTTAATCCTGGAATGTTTCAGTTCTTTCCAAAGAAAGGAGAGAAAAATAAAGAGACAGGGAAAGAACTATTGACACATCTCTTTTAAAGCCACTAATGGAAGATTCCCCAAGGTGCCCAGTTGAGCTGGAAATCCTCCTGCTTCATTTCTTGACATCTTTCTGTCTCTGCCCGAGTTGTTAGCCCAGACACTCCTGTATTTTGGCACTCAAGAACTGACAGAAACAGCAGGACATTGCTGGGACCCAGCTGGACCTGGGCTCGGGGGTCATGCAGACCCCTGTCTCTGACCCATCTTTTCCCCAGGTGTACCCTGGGACAGGTGAAGGTTTTCTCTTTTTAATGGTGTTAACTCTGACTTGCATGCCTGTGGTTAGAGCTGGAGCCAGTCCAGCTGAGATCTGTGCTCCACGTGATGGCCAGCAGTGGCCATCGGGGCCAGGAGGGACAGGGGGGTCTTTGCCATCCCAGCACACCTGAGCTGACACAAAGGCATAAACCGTGTCCTGCTCCTGCCTTCCCCTTGCCATGGGCTGTGGGGATGTGCAATGTGCACCAACACCTCTCCAGATTTCCACAGGGCTCATTTTATGCCCCTTCTGCATTTCCTTGGAGGGGTGCGTTGATCAAAGCCTTTTGATCAGAAGGTGTTGGAACATTTGCAGAGATCACTTAGAGCCTTTTTATACCGTGTGTCTGGGAGAGACCCAACAGTCCCATAGGACATGAATGCAGAACAGACCTGTGAGTGCCAGCAGAGCAGCACCTGGCACACTGAGCAGTGTGTGTGTCCCAGAGCACTCACTGCACCACAAGCAAGTTCATTCTCAAGCAAGTGGTCCATCACTTAATCACCTGTGTGGTGTCACTGACCTTGTGTCCAGCTGCAGGCAGGGAGGGCACATTGCCCCCAGCACCCTGCTCTGGGACAGTGTGTTTATGCACTGGAGTAAGGTGTAAAAGCCTGTGGTTGCTCATTTTGGGCGCTGCCAGCCAGGCCCAGACAAGCAGCTTGTTAGTTCTTATCTAAAACCAGAAATCTGGATGGAAACCTGAAAGCAAAATACCCCAACCCTGTGAAAAGTGCCTGGAACAGCATCAGAGTGTTTCCCTCTCCAAGGCAGCAGCCACTGGGAAATGGGTATAGCAATAACAAATGGAAAATGTATCCAAAAAAGAAATAGTTTAAGTTTCTTTGCCCTGGTGGGTCTGCCTCATCCCCTCATGAAGCCAGGACCTCATATGAGGTGGCTGGTGGTCCTGGCAGGAGATGCCCACAGTCTGCCAGGCCCAAAGTCTGCACAGAACTGGCATGGGAAGAGCCAGTGGTGATTAATGCCTCATATTTCACCCCAGAGGTCCCTAAAGCCTCCTGTTTGGTGAGTGTTCCAGCCCCTTTGGTGTTGGTCTGGCTTTGTTCATTTCTAAGTTGCAGTAAAACTGCCAGAGGCGGTAGTGGAACACCCCTGGCCCTGCTGCACATCTCTGGACTGTGCAGGACACGTGCAGGGCTCTTGACTCTGTGGGGAGGCAGCATCCCTGTCTGCCATCAGGATAGAACCAGAAGATGTGTCTCCCAGGTAGCTGCCATGGGGAAGGATATCATCTTCCCATGTATTCTGGGTAGCTCTAAAAAATAATTCCAAAGATATCTTGGCATCATCCTCACTGTTTTCCTGAGAGGTGTCCCACAGCAGGGACCCCTCTACCATGTGCAAACAGTATGGTGTGACCAAAGGGGTGAGGAGTGGTGACATTCCTTGTTACCCACAGGCAGAGGAGCTGCACCTGGGTCCCCATCCTGCAGCTGTGGGATCTGGTCCTTTCTCCTGGTCCCCCTTCCCAAGTGACTGAGCTGATTCCTCCAAGCCATTGAACACACGGGTTCCTGTTCCCCACAGCTGCTCTTGTGGCATAACTCCCTGCTCCTGCCCATGCTGAGGCTCCTCAGGGAATCTCACAGCTGCCCTGCAGCCTTTTGAGGAGTTGAGGATTTTGGCCAAAGGATTTTAACTGCTGAAGGCAAGTAATTCAAACGGGACCACAGCTCCGGCCAGGTAGCTGCACACTGGAGAGGAAACAGCACATGTGGTCCCATGTGCTGCCTCTGGAACAGGCTGTGGAGCATCCTCTGCCCAGAGGAGAGCAGGAGAAGGAGGAAGATGCTGTGGAGAGCATGAGATGAGCCCTGACAGAGCCCCAGACACTGAAGTTAACTCCTTCCCTGCGATGCATGGTTCACTCTCCATGCCTGGCATCATTCCCAGAGGTGGATGTGCCTTTCAGGAGGCCACAGTGACACCTGCTCAGCCAGAGGCAAAGAGTGTCACTGCTGCTCATGGTGTAGGGTTGCTGGAGACTCTCTGAGCCCCACATGCCCCACACACAGAGCTGGGAAGGGAGGGCAGGGACGTGACTCACCGCAGAGGGACCAGACTGTGCTGGGGATCGGAGGTGCTGGGCGTCTGTGGCCAGCCATGAGGGAGGTTTCCAGGAGCAAAACTCCTGTGGGCAGCAGGCTGACGCCAGTTTCGGGGCTGGGAGGTGCTAGAGCTTATCCTGACTTGCCCCACACAAAGCCAGGCAGGGATCCCACCTTGGCTCCCCTCAAACCACCTTTGGTCTGGGGTATGTGGGGATGTCCAACTTCCCCACAGGGTGCTGAAATAAGAGATGAGCCAGTGTTTCAAAGGCAGCCCAGAGCTCCCTGGGTTCTGCAGGTGGTTCATTCATGTGAGGAAGCCCCTCTCCTGCTCCAGGGCTGGGACAGATTGTGCTGCCAAGCCCAGCCAGCCCAGCTAAGGCCATGCAGAGGGACTCCAGGCACACTGAGCAGATGGCATTGCCCAACTCCACAATAAGGGGGGATCTTGTATAGCTCTCACAGGGAATGTCCTGCCCAGGGCAGCCTGGGCTCTGCCTCCATTGCTACCAACCCTGACACAAAGCAGCAGCACCAGCTGAGCTTCACCTGCCATGTGGGAGCTCCTGAAAGGCCTGACAGCTCCTGGGGTCTCTGTTCCCCTCTGAGCTGCAGAGGCAGCTCCTGTTCTGCCTCTGCTCTGTGGGGGTGGGCAAGAGGACAGGCTCTTTATGGCAGCCATGGTGTCCAAACAGAGCCAGGAAGGGCAGCTGCTGCCAAAAGGATCTGCTCCCTGTGTTCCTGGGTAGTTTCAGCACCAGGGCATCCTTCTCCCCTAAAAACAGGGAGCACCACCTGCACACCCCAAAGGCACAACCACAGCCTGGGGCTGGGAGCTTTGGCAGCAGGTCTGGTCCCAAGAATGGGGAGCAGAACCATGGCTGAAGACAGTGTCACCACAAGGTCACAGGGGCAGGGCCTTGGCCAAGTGCTCTTGCATGGCCACTTATGTGCTGCATCCGGCCACTGAACAGCAAAATGCTTTGAAAAGGTCCTGGCTGGGGACAGGCAAACTGTCACACACACCTGAAAAACACAGAGCAATGACCCTGCACCCACATTGCGATAGCTGGACAAATCAGAGCCAAATGATCTATAAAGGCTTCTCCACATTTATCCCCAAGTCCCCATGTCTGCCTCCACCTTCCTACAGATGTGCTGTTGACAGCACAGCAGCATTTAGGGATGCATTGCAGACTTTCCTGGGAAAACACACTTTAAAATCTTAATCTGAGCCTTGTACTCATCTGACCTACTCAGCACTGCATGATCTGTGTAGCAAATCATCTGTATGCCAAGTAATTACAGCCTGGTGCTAATAAATGAGCAACAAACTCATAATTATCTGCAGAAGTTTTGATGAATGATTTTTGGAAAACCCTCTATGACTCTTGCTAAGTTTGGAAGGACTCAAATCTCCCTGTGCCTGTGGGAATGAGTCAGTGGGAAGGACAGTTGCTCCTGGCAGTAGCGTGGGGCTATCGCTGATGTCCAGGCTTGTGGGGGAGAGTTCTGTGCCCCTTGGTGTCTCTGGAAAGCTCCAGTTGTTGGTTCCCATGGAGCAGGGCAGACAACCTGTGCTGCTGTGTGCAGGGGAGGCAGAGCCTGCGCAGGGACAGTGGCACTTGGGCTGGCCTGGGGTGGCCCTGCACGGGTGGTTCTGTGGTTACTCAGAGCATCCATCTGGTGTCCGTGCAGCCGGAGGGGCAGGGAAGCACCAGGGCCCAGGGTCGGTGGTGAGGGGCTGGCAGGGAGCTGCCCTGCAGTGCCCTTGTCCTGCCTGCTTCCCAGCATGGCTTCTGCTGTGGCACAAAGCCAGGAGAGCTGCCTCTCACCCAAAAAGGGCTTGGCACAGCTGATCCCAGCCAGAGATAAAGGCAGCACTGGGTGGGAGCCCAACCAGGGCTGATTCTGGCATAGGCTGGGCTGTGCAGCACTGCTCTGCAGGTGTCCAAGTGCATCCCCAGGGCCTCTGGGGGAGTCCTGCTGGGCAAATCCCACCAGTGACATGGAGGGGGTGAGGCCACCTTCAGCCAGACCTTCTGCAAGCATCCACTGTGCTCATCCCTGCTGTGCTCAGCACAGGGCTGGGTTCCCTGTTCTGACAAGGTCCCACTAAGGTCACCCCTGGGCTCTGCTCCCCCAGCCCCACATCACTCTCTCTGTGCATGGGGATGAAGGCTGAGGATGAGGGTGAAGCACACATCAGCTCAGCTCCATCACCTCAATCTCCCATCTGTGGTTTGTGCCTGGGCTCAGCACCCACCCAGTCCCTTGTGACTGTTCTGGGTTGTGCTGCTGCTCCCATCAGGACAGGCAGGCTCTGGGAGCATGTGGCATTCTGTGGTGATGCTCTGCAAAGGCTATGGGCAGCCCTGGAGCTCCCCTGCCCACTGCAGCTCACACAGCAGCACCCTGGGGTTCCCAACAGCTCCCCTACACCCATTTCCTGCAGAATGCCTGGGGAGGTGCTGAGCTCTGCCCACCCCACTGAGCACAACCCCTTCCAACAGCATCACCCCCCCAGGAAAGCAGCATCCCATGCACTGACTTGGTGGAAATACTCTTTTCAAACCTGTAAACCTTTGTGAGGGGCTATAAAGTTGCAAAAACTCACCCAGTGCACTGCAGCACCTGTGAGGACTGAGCCAGGTAGTCCCTGGGGCTGCCTGCTCAGGGGGTGCTGGGCAGCGCTCGCTGTGAGAGTTAATTGAAAGTGGGTTTTCCTCACTCTGTCAAGCCAGCAATGTGTTCCCCAAACACAGTTCTCAGTTGGCTGATGGGTGTCTCAGAGGGCTCCTTCACTGACAGAGTGAAACACCTGAAGCAGAAGTGCTCTCCAAAAGTCCTCGTAGCCCTGATTTGTGATGATTTATCCTTGGCAGTGAGGCAGAAGCCACTAGGATGGATGTGCCTGTGAAGGAGCACCTTTCTCATGAGAGCTGCAATTACAATAATGAGCTGTGTGAGAGTGGGACCAACTTTTCCAGCAGCAGCAAAGCAGCTCCACAAACCCCAGGATGCGACCATCATGAAGGGACAGTGTTGGGAAGGCTACTTCCATCAAACAAGCGTCAGATCTCCTTAAAACCTTATACTGACATTCTCTTTGCATCTGTGAGTTGCTGGGAAGGTGAGAAACTTGTCTTATTTTAAGTAGATGGTGAGTATGACAATCCTACTGGAGCTTTAAAGATAAAAAAATAAGTATGAGTTCCCTGCTCTGCCGGAATTTGGTGCCGGCTGAAGATTGAGATCCTCAGATAGCTGCACAGTGGTTTGGTCAAGCAGGAGCCTCTCTGGAAAACAAGGAGATAAACCACCTCCATAACAACACTTCTGAGCCCTTGGTGTGAAGTTTTTACCTTTTATCTCCATCCAAATGAACAATATTTTTGTTTTGCCGTGTCAGCTGAATGGATCATGCCCAGAGAGTGGGGGCAGCCGGGATGAGCAGGCAGCTCACCACACTGGTCAGCTCAGCTCTGGGTCCCACCTCTCTGGCAATGAAGCACGGGCTGGTGGGTGTTCAGAGCTGCTGGTGGAGATCCCACCACAATCCTCAGTAAATGTTTTGAGTAATTAATTGCCCTCCTGATGAGCTGAGTGCATTGTGCTTCCCCTCTGAACTGCTGGGTGAGACAGGCTCAGCTCTTGTGCCAGGCCTGAGTTAGGTGAAAGAAGCTTTTCCCACTCAGTGCCAGCTCTCCATGCAAGTTTTCATGGGCTGGACTGATGTCACCATGGCCCCTGCTACGGGAAGTAGCTGAAGTTTTGAAGCCTCACCACAGCTTTTCAGCTTCTCTGCATAGTTTTAGCTCCCATATGGGATGTCCCTTCCCTTCACCAGCCCCAGCAGCAATGGAAGGGGCAAGACAGCCAGTGTATGTGTACAGCTGTGCATGGTTCCATCTTCCACCTCCTCCTCTTCCTCCTCCAGACTTGGATTTCCCATCAAGCCTGAACATCACTTTAATTTGGAGCCAGCACCCACAGCTCTTCTCCCGAGCCCCACGCCTGCCGAGGGAGGAGCGGAGCAGCAGGCAGTGCGCCCTGTTGGACCTGCTGGGCCAGGTGCCTGCTCCACAGGGAATTGCTCTCCTGACACTGGGCAGTCACAGCTGGCTGGGGGAGCAGTGCAGAGAAGGGGCTGGAGCTCAGGGAGGCTTCACCTGAACCTCGCAGGTGGACCTGGGGGCTGACAACCTGTAATGAGGTGGCAGCTGTATTCATGGGTGGGGTCTTCTCCTGCCAGGCTCAGCCACATCCACCAGTGTCCTTGTCAGCTCATGCAGCCTCACCTGCTGTGCTTTCAGCATCAGTTGCTGTCCAGCTCCTCTCACTGAACAGCAGCACATCATGTTATTCTTGAGATGAGCTTCTCTCACTTTGATTTGCATTTTGTTCTGTTCTGCATGGCCTGCCCCAGTCTCGTCTGACTGGCTTGCCACAGTGGGACACAGTGAGGCATGCTCCACTCCCCAGGCTGCCTAAAAGCTCTTGGCCTCTCTCCCTGCTGGAGAAGAGCCAGCTCCCTACCCAGGGCTGTGTCCAGCTCTCTCCCTGGGTTTCAGCCATTCCAAAGGTTAGCTGCCTCCCAGGAGGCCTGCCTGCTCCTGTTGCCCAGATAAACATCTGGGCTTCACCTGCTGCAGCCTCGCCATCCCCAGCCTGTGCCATGGCAGCCACTCTGCCTGTGCCAGCTCTGGGGACAGAGTGTGGGCAGCCAGCCCACGGTGATGCCTGAGACCACGCAGCCTCTGTTTCACGACCTGATTCAGTAAACGCCCTCAGTGTGCCTTTTGCTCCCTCCTCTGCCTCAATAACAAAGACAGGGCTGTTTAGGAATGTGAGTTATTTACTGAGGGTGGGCAGCAGGCTCAGGACAGTTTTGTGTGCCCCACACATGGGGATGGGCACCTGCTCAGCCAAAACAGCAATCCAGCTCTGGCAAACCTCAGTCCTGTCTCCCCAGTTCCCTGCCCAGCATTTGCTCCTATCCAGAGGTGCAGCTGTGAACCCCAAGGGATAATCTGCTGTAATTTGTCTCTCCTTAAATTCACCCATGCTCAACATTCATTTTTTTCTCTCGCCTTCCAGCTGATGAGGTGTGAACAGGGAGGAGGAATCACTTGCTGAGTGCTGCAGGTAAGGGGGTAGGGGAATGTATAAGCTGGGAGAGCACATCTTTCCGTTTTGGAAAGTCTTTGATATCCTTTGAGTGCAGATGATGACTGTTGAGGAAATTTTGAGTTCTGGAGTGAGCATATTCCTTTTTTCTGGTTATAAGCCTGACCTAGGTCTTACTAAGTGCATATTTGCTTTGTTTATTGGCTAAGATAGCATAATGATGGGATGAGAAAACTATAGTAGTGGAATATTTGTTACCTGTAAGTGTGTGAGGTTCAAAGAAAGTGGAAGGTTCACGTGAAGCTGGAAGGGCTGCCCTGAGTGTGTGTGAGCCGAGAGCTGGGGAGGGCGAATGCTCCCCAGGGCAGCTCTGGTGATGCCAGGAGCTGGCTGGGGTTGAGGAAGGCTGCTTTGGTTGCTGAGAGTTGGCTTCTCTTTTGCACTGCACAGGGGTTACCTGAAGCTTTCCCCAAGCCAGCGTGGTCATTGTGGGAGCCCCGTGACAGCAGCCTGAGCCATGCTTGGCTAGGACCTGGTGCATGCAGGTGTGGTGTAACCTCCCTTTCCCTCTGTG